AACTAAGTCAGAGGTGGGGGTGTGGAGGATGAACAGGTCAGAGGTGGGGGTGTGGGGATGAACTTGTCAGAGGTGGAGGGTGTGGGATGAACTGGGTCAGGGGTGGGGGAGGTGTGGAGGATGAACTGGGTCAGAGGTGGGGGTGTGGGATGAACTGGGTCAGAGGTGGGGGTGTGGAGGATGAACTGGGTCAGAGGTGGGGGTGTGTGGGATGAACTGGGTCAGGGGTGGGGGTGTGTGGGATGGTGGTCAGAGGTGGAGGGTGGGATGAACTGGGTCAGGAGGTGGGGGGTGTGGGATGAACTGGGTCAGGGTGGGGGAGGATGAACTGGGTCAGAGGTGGGGGTGTGGGGTGAACTGGGTCAGAGATGGAGGTGTGTGGGATGAACTGGGTCAGAGGGTGGAGGGGGTGAACTGGGTCAGGGTGGGGGTGTGGGATGAACTGGGTCAGAGGTGGGGGTGTGGGATGAACTGGGTCAGAGGTGGAGGTGTGGGATGAACTGGGTCAGGGGGGGGGGGGTGGGGGGGGGGGGGGGGGGGGGGGGGGTGGGATGAACTGGGTCAGGGGGTGGGGTGTGGGGTGAACTGGGTCAGAGATGGAGGTGTGGGATGAACTGGGTCAGGTGGAGGGTGTGGGGTGAACTGGGTCAGAGGTGGGGGTGTGGGATGAACTGGGTCAGAGGTGGGGGGTGTGGGATGAACTGGGTCAGAGATGGAGGGGTGTGGGATGAACTGGGTCAGGGTGGGGGGTGGGATGAACTGGGTCATGATTTTTATTTTGCGCTGCAGCAGCTACTTTTTGTGCACCCACACTCATCCTGTGACGTGCAAAAGGATTACAGAGTAGGGTTTACAAGGTCATAATAAATTAACCCCGTTGTCGGATATTATGGCACTGAATGTTACACAATTTAATTTACATTATTTGTTTAGTTCTATACATAAAGGGTAACTTATTACAACTGCGTGAGAACAGGCGTGTGAGGCAGTATGTCTGGCCTCACACTTTGTTGTCCACATTACGTGGGAGTATTCAAGCACATTGCGTATTTGGTTCTGTACATGAGAACTTGATATAGTTACTAAGTGCAAAAAGTGGATACAATCTTAATATGTAAACTATCTTGCCATTAGAGATGAAGTGTTGTGCCATTTCACACAAGTGATGCTGGACCTGTCCTAAAGGTTCTATCTTCACACCTATGGATCGATAGTGCCTGTTTGCACTTGTCTACTTTGCGTGAAACTCATCCAATAAGTTCCTCTCCTAATTACACCGGTTTTAAGGGTTCTTTTGACCAGACCCAAATTGTATTCTTCAACGGTGTCTTTGTTGAGCCTTAGCGAGTTTGGCGAGGAGCATCAACTCTGTCCTGTTTATGAAGGGCCTATGTGAGAGGATCACAACTTGGTTTGACCTTGACACGGTCAACAAGGCACGCATATTTATTATCTGGCTTCAGAGACAAGATCGGCGACAACCTGAGTCAGGGTACCAAGGGCAAGTAGTGAGGATAGAGATCAGTGATGAGACTGTCAGTAGTAGTAGTTTTCAATGAATTTAACAGCTGTGAGTATGGCAGCATTCAGTTTGTGCAGAGTGGATGCCCAGTTGTTGAATTCTAACTCCTTTCTCAATTATATTACCGTCAGGGTTGAGTCACAACAATAGCACTTCCAGCCCCTCCCACTGGCGGTGTTTGAGATCCATCAGTGTAGATGGTCTGTGTGATATTATCATCAGTCTGTAGGAGTGTGTATGTGTTCAAAAGGGCTCTCAATTTGGCAGTCATGTTGGAGATAAATGCTTTATAATTAATTTTAGGCGGATACGTCGGTGTTGTGATATCAGAGGAACTGTCCGCCAGGGTGGCAAGAAGCGCTGTTGTGTCTTAACTTTGTACAGGTGGTCTAGTCAAAATATCTTCATATGTGTGTGGCTATGTAGTTTGGATCCATTTTAGACTCAATGGTCCATAGTTCATACATTCTAGCAATTTTAAAGGAAACAATGTTATCAGGATCACCACACCCAGAAGCCTCAGGACTATCCTTGAGAGTTGACTTCAATTATTCTATCTTCAACACTGGGTATACCTAGTTCTTTCCTCATATTAGTGCTTTAGTGCTCTTAGGACATCCTAGGATAATTCTGAGGGCTTTATTTTGCATTTTCTCGAGCTTGTCAACGCCTTTCATCTCACGAATGACCAGGGCTGGTGCGTGGTAATCTATCAGAGATCTTATATAGCCTAGGTACATTGTTTTAACAATTCTAATATTAGCACCATAATTGAGCTGTACCCACTTCTACACACTTCTAGAGTCTCAGTCTGTCAGTACATTGGCAGGTTATTGTTGTATAGCGGGTAGGGTACAAGGACGGAAACACCAAGATATTTAAAGAAGAAACATAGTCAATAGTGTTACCTATCTTGGAACTTGAGGGCCGCGTTTGCAGTTACCAGCTTGTTTATTGAACACCTTAGTTTTGTCGGTGGAGATAATAAGACCGAGAGTGTTCTGAGCTGCGTAACATACATGGTTCAGGGTGGTTTTGCATTTACGATGAGTTTAGTATGTATAAGAATATCATCAGCATAGCTGATTGAGATATTACTGGGTTATCTGGTATTAAAATTTAATAATGCATTCCTTGGAACGTTAACGAACAAAATTAGGGCTAAGTACTCCACCTTGAGGGTACCAAGTTGCATATCTTCTTCACTTTTGTAACCCTGAAGCAATTGTGGCCCTTCTGTTGGTTGGTACCCTTATCAGTGTAACAGCCTACCTCCTATATCCATTTGGCTAGTTCATGCAATATCAGTTCCTATTGGCAATATCCAAATGCAGCTTTTAGGTCAAGAAATGTACGAATTGTATCTATTTTTCATCACCATGCCTGATTGGGAATGTGGTGATGCAATTATGTACACCTTTACCATGGGTGAGACCATTTTATGTTAGGAGACATGTGTTCTCAGTTCTATCTAGAGTCTGCCAGGCATCCTCTCAAAGGTTTACAGGCAACAGTTGGTGATATGGGACCCAGGCATCAGGCTGTCCTGGTTTCGGTATTAGTACAATACTGCTGGTCCATGATGTGGGTAGTTGACCTCGGCATAGATCATAATACAATACCAACAATGGATTGCCTGGCACCTGTAGTAGTCTGGCACGATGTTGAAGGTGACTCCATCCTCTCAGGGAATGGAGCCTACCCTGGCGGGGCGGCGATCAAGCTCCCAGTCAGTATATGGAACATCACTCATAGTGCTGTTTGCCCAGCATAAAGTTAATAAGATTACTTCTCTCTACAGACTTCGCATCAAGGAGTTCCCGAGTCCTAGCTGGTAACATGTCATAGCTCGACTTTATAGGCCCACTTGTTATTAGCTCATTCGACTTTACACTGCAGAGGGGTTTGGATGGGGCAGTGTCTTCTGTTTTTACATCTGATTATGTTTATGTCTTTCCAGGCTTTGCTGAGGGATGTGTGTTGGTTCAGACTGTGACTTATATCTCCCATGCATTTTGTCTGAAGGTTCGTTTTACGTTCCTGACAGCAACAAGGGAAGCTTGATACAATTGTAACATTTGGGGTGTTCCTAAATTGTCTGTAACCCTTACCCACCCTCCTGACTCTAGCCCTGAGTTTTTTCAGCTCCAGGGTCATTCCTCTATAACACTGCTGTTGCCTGTTCCCATTATGCTGACCGTTTTCTCCTTTTTTTGGTGGAATCATTGTTGGTAGAGTATGCATAAGTCCTATCCTATCAGATCGTCGCGACTTTGGTAATTGTCGGAAGCTTGTAGTCCTTCATACCAGTCATGGATGAAGTCTATGAACTGGCTTTCATGTTCTTGCTTGACTGTGATTCTACGTCTGTTGAGTTTACCACCAGTGGGGGTGTCATTGGCTACATGTATACTAGCTTGGATTGGGCTGTGGTCAGACATAAGATCGGTGACAACATCAGGAAAGAAGCTATGAGTTATGTATGATAGATTAAAGCCAATACATTTTGTCTAGACCCCGCCATAGATGTGTGTTGGTTCATTGTACCTATAATTTGAACATCTTCATATGCTGAAGTAGAAGAGATAAGTCTCCTACCATTAGTGTTAGAAGTTAGTCACCTAATTTCTTGTGTCTAGTATTTCAGGTCACCCATCAGGACAGTGGGCTCAGTGTGTAAAAGTCTGGGAGATCTGTGTACTCAGAAACTAAGTCGAGGAGCATAAGGCGTTTAGCCGTTGAGTGTAGAGTTGCCCAGGTGGAAGCACGTTGAGTGTGGAGTTGCCCAGGTGGATAGTGATCCCATGGTACTGAAGGGGGTGGGGCTGGTGGGTGGGGTTGGGGTGTGTGAGGTGGGGGTGTGGGGTGAACTGGGTCAGAGGTGGAGGGTGTGGGATGAACTGGGTCAGAGGTGGAGGTGTGGGATGGACTGGGTCAGAGGTGGGGTTGGGATTGGGTGGGGGGTGTGTGGTGGGGTTGGGGTGGTGTGGGGTGGGGTGGGTGGGTGGGGTGTGGGTGAACTGGGTCAGAGGTGGGGGTGTGGGGTGAACTGGGTCAGAGGTGGAGGGTGTGGGATGAACTGGGTCAGAGGTGGGGGTTGGGATGAACTGGGTCAGAGGTGGAGGGTGTGGGGTGAACTGGGTCGTGGGTCCAAAACAACGCTCCTTGTCACCCTCTCCTTCCCTCAGCAGTCGTCTCTCTTATGTTTCCTTCAGTAAAATTTATTCTATTTTTACGACGTCTTATTTGACTTATTATTGTTATTTATTTTTTAACAAAGACCATTAATAATTCATATATTTGTAGTGGATCTATGTATGGGGTCAGATAGAGAGAGACTCCACAAGATAATCCAAACCTAACCTAACCAAGGCTAACCAAACCTAAACTCAAACCTAACCTAACCAAGGCTAGCAATTACCTCCACTAACCAACGTATAAGCCTAACAAAGCTAAAATTGTCAATAAAACATTAAGGCAAATTTCAAGACTATATTTACATAGACAAATAATACAAGGAGTACATAACAATACAACATAATACAACCTTTAATTAAGAGGTCACCATTGTGGATATGAGTCGTTAGCCCTCAGAGGTCGTTAGCTCTCGGAGGTTGTTAGCCCTCAGCGTGAGCCATTAGTTGTCTCTGTAAAAATAAATATTGTATGAAATTGTATTATTGTATAGAAGGTCCACAGGTTAGGTTAGTGTTAGGATTGTGGTGGTGTGTTGGTGGTTGGTTGTGTGGTTGTGTGGTGGTGGTGTGTTGGTTTGGTTTGTGGTTGTGTTGGTTGGTCAGGTTGGTTGTGTCGGTGGTCAGTGTTAGGTGGTGTTAGGTCAGGTTAGTTGAGTGTCAGGTTAGTGTCAGGTCAGTGTTAGGTTAGTGTTAGGTTAGTGTTAGGTTAGTGTTAGATTAGGTTAGGTTAGTGTCAGGTTAGTGTCAGGTCAGTGTTAGGTCAGGTTAGGTTAGTGTCAGGTCAGGTTAGGTTAGTGTCAGGTCAGTGTCAGGTCAGTGTTAGGTTAGGTCAGGTCAGGTCAGGAATGAGGTAAAACTTGTAATTTCCAGTATATTTTATTTACCTGATTTATTTTGTAATTGTATTTATTGTATTTTGTTATTTTATTTCTTGTGTTATCATCAATTAAGTTAATTTAGATGTATATAAAGACTTAGGCTGTGATATAATGGATCTGTAGACATTGTTTAGTATGGGGGTGACCCTGTGACCTCTGATCTGTGAGGGTGACCTGTGATTGAGCAATGGAGGTGATTTGAGACCTATTAGAGAAAGAGAGAGTGAGAGAATGAGAGATAGTGAGAGATAGAGAGAAAACACCTCCAAATATCTGACCTTAAGAGGCGCCATGATGTTTACAGCAGACAACCCCAGGGATCTCAAGAGGACTAGAGGAGGAGCGGTACTGTTGTAGAGGCGATAGAGGCCGTCGATGGTCGCCAAAGTCGCCACGTTGTGTCTCTGACGTTCACTCTCGTACTGGTGAAGGATTTGCTCGTCACCTGTTGGCAGAACGTTGGAATTGTGAAGACTTCGAAAAGGTAAATAATATTGGAATTGGAAGATAAATAATACTGGAATTGTAAAAACTAAGAGGCAAAATAATTGTGGAATCATAAAGACTTTAAAAGAAAACCAAAACAAATCTGCTACAGTAAAATACAATAGAAGATAAATTACATTAAAAAAGATGAAAATACAGACAATTAAGAAACAAATCAATTACAGCTCCTCCCTGACTTACGGCCACCTCAGTCGTGAGTCAACCCTTACCGATGTCGGCGCCGATGAGGACGGCATTCTGTAGGGTGTCGGTGAGAGTCGCTACGTCACCGAAGCCCAGGTTGACGCCCTGACCAGCCAGTGGGTGTATGCGGTGAGCTGCGTCCCTGTGTGAGAGGTGAGGTGTAGGAGTGTGTTTGGGGTTAAACTTGTGACCTACACTGTGTCTCTCTCTCTCTCTCTCTCTCTCTCTCTCACTTACCCTATAAGAGCGACCCTGGGGGCGACGTAGTGAACAGCATGACCCAACCCCAAGGGGAAGGATCCTCTGGTGCCGGGGACTATGGCACACACACTGGGCGGTAACTGGCGGACGGCGGCACCGCTACGAGGGGCGATGGTCTCCAGGAGGGTCATCCATCGCTCGTGAACCGTCCGGATGATCTCATTACTGCTGCTTTCATCCCACTGTCAGGGCGATGTGGATGTTTGGTTAGGTTTTGGTTAGTGTTTGGTTGGGTTAGGTTACTGTTAGATTAGAGTAGTGATAATTAGTTGGGTTAAGGTTTTGATTAAGTGTTGGGGTTAAGTTAAGGGCTTAATCTGATTTAAGTTGGGATAACAGGTGAAATAGGGTTAATCAGGTGAACCAATTACACTCTAATACTCACAATTGCCCTATTAAGTGCGTCAGTAAACTCCTCGTCTGTAAGCTGGTGTAGTTTCTGAGCTTGTTCCTTCGTGGTCGACCAAACGAGGGAACTACGGTCGTTTGATAGCTGTTGAGAGAGAGACATAATTATAACAATCTCATACCAACAGTCCCCCCTCCTCCCCCTCCCAAGGCACACCCAAAAGTGGAGCCCCCCCACCCCTAAGGTACACACACCCCCAGAGAGTGAGCGTCAAGGCCAATTCAGAAGCGCTGGTTTGAGCCGGCATGAAGGTTTAAACCAAGGAGCGAGCCAAGATTGTCAGTATTCAGAATCGGATCCGGGATTAGTCGATCCTGGCATTAATCCAGCCTGTTGGAGGGATTAGTCGATCCTGGCATTAATCCAGCCTGTTGGAGGGATTAGCGGTCAATACACCATTCAGGATAGGAACCAACATGAATTTTGACAGAGTTTTCAGGCGATAATTGTCAAATGGAGAAATTTTACAGGTAGAATCTTATTAATTTGTATAATAACTCACAATTTAGACAATGATATAGGTTCAGTAAGGGTGATTTCCTTTATATTTTCCATCTACTTGACAAACCTATTGGCTATGGTTGACCTCGCCCAGTCATCACCTTTGAGATTCTTCACAACGTATAATTTACAGATTCTGGTTAGTCAATGATTTACGGTGATGTGTTTAAAACGCTTTCATGTTTTGGCTCCATGTAAGTCAAGCGGGTAAATTGTAAACAACATTGATGCTTCTTTGTGTGTTTTGATTTGCGGAAACTATTAATTCTTTTGGCGTTTTGATTTACGGAACTATATTCTTTCTGTGTTTTGATTTACGGAAACTATATTTTTTCTCTGTTTTGATTTACGGAAACTATATTCTTTCTGTGTTTTGATTTACGGAAACTATATTTTTTCTGTGTTTTGATTTACGGAAACTATAAATTCTTTCTGTGTTTTGATTTACGGAAACTATATTCTTTCGATATTTTCGACATACCGTAAATGAATCAATGCTGAATGCTGTTTGATTGGCTGTCATATTGGTGTGCCTGAAACACGATTGGCTGCCATAATAATGTAACTGAAACATAATTGGCTGTCATAATAATGTAAATAAAATGCGATTGGCTGGAATTTCAGTGTTCGAATTCTGGCTCGTAATCGAAGAGAGTCCAGACCCCAAACTCAGACCCCAAACACCAAACTCAGACCCCAATCACCAAACTGACACCCCAAACTCAAACACCAAGCTCAGACCCCAAGCTGAATCCCAGCCTTAGAGAGCTCGGGGCAGAGGTCAACAACACTTACTGGCAGCAGAGCGACGGGGCCAGTGGGGAGGAATCTCTGCCAGGCTACTGTGTTGTCTACTGCCTGGGGGGGGGGGAGAGAAGAGACCATCGTTACTTAAATAGAGACTGGGGATAGATGGATAGATAGATGGATAGATAGATAGATAGAATAGTTAGATAGATTGATAGACCTTTATTCAGTAAGATTGTAATATTTATAAAAAATATTTCATATAGTACAATAAGTCATATTAGACTCTAACCTAACCTAAACTTAACCTAACCTACCCCTAACCTAACCTACCCCTAACCTAACCCACCCCTAACCTAACCCACCCCTAACCTAACCCACCCCCAACCTAACCCACCCCTAACCTAACCCACTCCTAACCTAACCCAAAACAGAGTAACAACCTTGCAACATTGCCTTACCTCTGACAATTGCAACGTTGCCACAATTCCCATTTGGTCGTACTCCCAGCCCAGGTATTGAGAGCCCATGGTCTGTCTTACTAGAGATTTGGCACCATCGGCTCCTATCTGTGAGAAAAAGCCAATCAGAACATGTGGGGGTCAATCAGAAAACATGGGGGCCAATCAGAACACGTGGAGGTCAATCAGAACATATGGGGGTCAATCAGATAACATGGGGGTCAATCAGAACACATGGAGGTCAATCAGATAACATGGGGGTCAATCAGATAACATGGGGTCAATCAGAACACGTGGAGGTCAATCAGAACATGTGGGGGTCAATCAGAACATATGGGGGTCAATCAGAACATGTGGGGTCAATCAGAGGTAACATGGGGCCAATAGAAATATGGGGCTCAATCAGAACAAACAATAAGGGGGCCAATCAGATCATGGGGTCAATCAGAACATATGGGGGTCAATCAGAATGCCGAGGTGACGTCTCGAACAACAATAAGAAATCCATTTATCTGGTTTGGTTAGGTTAGGTTTTGTTAGATTAGGTTACGTTAGGTTCTGTTAGATTAGGTTAGGTTACGTTAGGTTTTGTTAGATTAGGTTAGGTTACGTTAGGTTTTGTTAGATTAGGTTTAGCATGGTAAGGTTAGTTTAAGACAATTTAGGTTAGGTTAATTTGATATGAAATAGATCAATTCAGTGTTTGGATGTTATTGATGAAACAATTGAAAAATATGAAACAAATACCACAACTAAACTAGATGAAATATATCACTGAAATATTTATAAGTTAAACCGACCATTTTGAAACACTTGAGTTCAGGAATTAAATTACAGTTCCTCCCCGACTTACGACGGGGTTAGGGACCCAAATCCAGGTTATAAGTCAAAAATTCTTAAATAATACATAAAAAAATCTAAAATGGTTGTCTCTTTTTCTTCTCAGCTCCACAAAACTCTCACTTTTAACCTTGCCAGATATTTTAAAGTGAAATACAAACGAGAATTTTGTCAGTACACAGCGCGATCACTGACGTCGGGACTCGAAAATACGTAATTTGACTACATTTTGGTACGACTAAAGCGGTCGTAAGTGCGGGTGGACGTAAGTCGTGGAGGAGCTGTATACAGTATAGCTTATCTATGATTGTATAGACTCTGGAATTAGATTAAGAGGGAATTATTTTCTAGTTAATTGTATTAATTCTTTCATATACTTTATCAGAAGACTACTTAATTTGCATTTATATTGACCCCTTGTGTATGGGGTCACCTCTGAGCTGAAGAAAATAGGAATTTTAGCTGGAATTTTAACGAGAATTTAAAGAGGAATTTAAGCAGGGATTTAACAGGAATTTTAGCGGGAATTTTAGCTGGAATTTTAACGGGAATTTCAGCAGGAATTTTAGTGGGAATTTTAGTAAGAATTTAAGCAGGGATTTTTGCGGGAATTTTAACAGGAATTTTAATGGGAATTTCAACAGGAATTTTAACGGGAATTTCAGCGGGAATTTCAACATTTCCAAGACCATAGACACACCCCTAGACCTGAGTATCCCAACATTAATCCACCCCCCAAAACACGTCGGGGTAAACAAACTAACCCTGGCCCCTAGAGTACCATACCAGGAGATCCGCGGAGACTTTTCTGCCGTCGTGGAGACAGACGGTCACTCTAGAGGAAAGGTCGGACGGTAGGTCGTAACATTTGACCTTTGTGTTGTACTCCACCTGTTGGGATAATATTAATTTTAGAATTTTTGGATATTGTTGTTAGCTTAGATTAGATTAGTTTAGTTTGGGTTAGGTTAGGTTGGGGTTAGGTTAGGTTAGATTAGGGTTAGGTTAAGTTAAGTTGGTTACTTATTGACCTAGTAAGGCATCATCAACCACTCCACCCACTCCCACTCAACCCACTCCCACTCAACCACTCACTCCCACACCACCCACTCCCACTCAACCACTCACTCCCACTCCACCCTCTTCACCTCCACATGCGCTGGCACTTGCTCCTTCAGGGCGTGGAGGATGACGTCATTCTCGACTATGTGAGCGAGGACTTCTGATTGGTCGTGCTCGTCGAATGTAATCATCGCCTCGGAACACGCCTCCCACACCTGTAAGAGTGGGTACTGTAAATAACTTCACACACCTGTACGAGCGGGTATTATAGGCTACTCCACACCTGTAAGAGTGGGTACTGTAAGCTACTCCACACACCTGTAAGAGTGAAAACAATGAACATATACGACTCCCAATTCTGTCAAATGAGGTTCTGTCCAAGAGAATTCTGTCCAAGTGAATTCTGTCCAAGTGAATTCTATCCAAGTGAATTCTGTCCAATGAGGTTCTATTTAAGGAATTCTATCCAACCCCCAAACAACTGACCCACCCCCATACCTGCATCCGTCTAACAGCCTGAGCTCGGATGCCCTCGATGTGACCCCAAATCCCCAACTTGCGGAAGAGTTTCTGTGTGTGGCCGCTCAGAGCACACACGCGGTTAGTGAATTCTTCCGGTAGCTTCCAGGGTTTGTTTGGGGTTCCTTCCAAGAGCAGGATCCGTCTGTCGCTCAATGTCTTATTCTGGCCTGAAATATTGACGGTGTTAATAATAATGATGATGATAATAATAATAATAATAATAATAATAATAGTAATAATGATAATAATGATAATAATAATAATAATAAAATAATAATAATAATAATAATAATAATAATAATAATAATAATAATAATAATAATAAAAATAATAATAATAAAATAATAATAATAATAATAATAATAATAATAAAATAATAATAATAATAATAATAATAATAAAATAATAATAATAATAATAATAATAATAATAATAATAATAACTAACAATAATAATAATAATAATAATAATAATAATAATAATAATAATAATGAATATGACACAACTATCTATCTATCTATCTACTGTATCTATCTATCTATCTATCTATCTATCTATCATAATAAGTCAATAAACATCATTAAATTCACCTAATGAGGAAGCCATAGCCAAGCCGACCATCCCTCCCCCAGAGACGACCACATCATAGTGCTCCACCTCTCCTCTCTTCTCCCTCTTCTCCTCCTCCTTACACGTGATGCACCTCCCTCTCAGCTCCTCCCGCCTCACCAGGTGCCGGGAAGCCCTCAGTAGCGGGGAGAGACGTGAAGACAGGTACATGGTAGAGGTGGTCAGAGGCTTTGTTTACATCTGAGACTTGTGTAACCTGGAAATAATTAACTTTTATCTTATTATTATAAAGGTTAAAATATCATTAATAATCTTTAAAATAAACTTAAAACTAATAAAAAATATAATAATATATATAAATATCTTAAAATAAAAGTAAAATTAACTAATAATTTAATGATTTTGATTAATTAATGTTTTTTATATGATACGTAAATAAAGACACCAATATTGCGATTCATTTATAAATAAATAAATAAATAATTATCTTAGTTATATTTTGTTAAGGAAATATTATATATAATCTATCATATATAATAAATTATATAACTATTAATAATATTTGTAAATTAATTATCATAAAAGTCGTAAATTTTATCTTATCGAATCGCAATATTAAATACATATAAATAACTAATTAGAATAAATTATATATAAAAAACAATTAAATAAAAACAATTAAATAAAAAAATCTTAACAATAATAATAGTCGTTTGTGGTGATAAATAATCTATATAAATAAACCAATTAAAATATTTCTATGGGGTAAATTATTAAATAAAAACCAATAAAGAATAAATATATAAAGATTTAATTCAAGATTTATTAATAATTACAATAAACTAATGATTTAATAATAATAATAATAATAATAATAATGTTTTAGGCTTTTGTAGCAACACCAGCTGGGCGTGTATAATAAAAACAATGTTAATAATTACCCCGAACAATATATAAAACCATATATATTAAACTAAAAATCATATATATTAACAAAATTTAAATATAATAAATAATAATATATATAATTTAATAGTTTAAGTTGAATTTAATAATTATATAAAAGTTTTTTTTGGGTAAACTTATTTTAAAATCGTGTTCGTGGTGATAAATAACATCGACCATCATGCCAACAATGTAAACAAAACTACCAAAGAGGGAAAAAAATTACATCCTTATAATTAACAAAGAAATTACCTCTATTTTAAGGTTATTTACCGTGATTGACGTATCTAACAGAGGTAGTAAATCACCGTGAGGATATTAAGGAGAGACTGGTGAGGATAGCAACCATGCCAAACACAGCAGAGGTAAATAAATAAGGTTTATTGTCTTGTCTTCCCACCTGATGGAGATTTATTTAACCTTGATGTTTTATGTTTTTTCTCTATTATAAACAAGTAAACAATATGTCGTTGTTTACATGTTGGTTGATTGATAGAGTATATTTTTGTGGTTATTTCAGTTTTTACAGATTTAAAATTGGTTAAATGAGACTCGTGATATAAGGTAATATATTTATTATTTTTTTTTATTGTTTTTCTCTATTTATAAACAAGTAAACAATATGTCGTTGTTTACATGTTGGTTGAATGATTGATTATATTTTTGTGGTTATTTTAGTATTTTACAGAATTAAAATTGGTTAGGTTTAGGTTTAGGTTAGGTTAGGTTAGGTTAGGTTAGGTTAGGTTAGGTTAGGTTAGGTTAGGTTAGGTTAAGGTTAGGTTAGGTTAAGGTTTTGTCAAATTACGTATTTTCGAGTCCCGACGTCAGTGATCGCGCCGTGTACTGACAAAATTTTTATCTGTAATTCACTTTAAAATATCTGGCCGTTAGTCAAAAATTCTTAAATAATACATAAAAAATCTAAAATGGTTCTCTTTTTCTTCTCAGTTCCACAAAACTCACTTTTAACCTTGCCAGATATTTTAAAGTGAATTATAAACGAGAATTTTGTCAGTACACAGCGCGATCATTGACGTCGGGACTCGAAAATACGTAATTTGACAAAATCTTGGTACGACTGAGGCGGTCGTATGTCCGGGTGGTCGTAAGTCGAGGAGGAGCTTTATATGCATCATTTATAATCATTTCCCTTTTACAATCATGTTATTACCAGCATTAACAATATGAAATAATTTATTGCCTCAATGGTGTAAGGATCATTTCTAAATTTACTGACTCATTCATATCTGCAGTTTTTTCCTTCAAATATATTTCTATCATAATTTCACGGGCTGATAAATTTTACCGCGGGCACACCTGACCATCCCAAGGGCCACACCTGACCATCCCCAAGGGCCACACCTGACCATCCCAAGGGCCACACCTGACCATCCCAAGGGCCACACCTGACCATCCCAAGGGCCACACCTGACCATCCCAAGGGCCACACCTGACCATCCCAAGGGCCACATTTAGCCTGAGGATCATGAGTTTGATGCCCCTGGTTACTCTAAGGCAGTGGTTCATAACTTTTTTTGAGTCACAGACCCCTTTGGGAAGCTGGTGAAAGCTATGGACCCCCTCCCTTGAAAAATGCACATAAACACAATTCTACATGCAATGAATATACAGTACTTTATTTTATTGAAAATTCTTTGCCTCATACAATCTTAACAAAGAATTAGGTTTCACACTTTTTTTATGCCAAAATTAATGGCCACTCCATACAAAAAATGAAATCCAATCATCTTGTGCAAATTAAACATAACAAAACTTTAATTCTGCTCAAAAGTTCATTTCAATGTGAAGGTGAATGTTGTTGTTTGGTTTGAAGATAAAGGTTATATTTTTATCTGACCTTCACGGACCCCCTCAAGCCCATCCATGGACCCCTGGGCTAAGGTGACTTATATGCCTTGGGGGTTATTTACGCTGTATTATTTGATAACGTCGGTCGCTATAAAAGAGACTCGTGGTGTTATTGTTGTTTTTATGCTGTAATGCTTAACGATGTCGTCTTATGCCAACGAACGACTCTAGGTTAATACCCCAATGAGATGAAGCCTATAATTGCCGTCGTGTCTATTCATTATAATGGTTAACGACGTCGACTTATGGTAACGAGCATCCTTACAATAATACCCCAATGGAATGAAGATTATAATTGCCATCGTGGTTTATTAGCGGTAATGCTTAACGACGTCGTCTTCTGGTAACGAGTGACTTTAAAACATTCTTTATTTGTCGATAATTTGTCCGTGTCTTCTGTTAACCTATAAAATGGCGGAGGAATTTCAATTTATGTGTTTTGTGTTTTTCGATGCCTTTGTTAGGGTAAATAATGGTCTGTGCTCGCTTAATGGATGTCATGTTTGGGTTTAAGTAATGTGTGGGTTAGGTTAGGTTGGGTTAGGTTAGGTTGGGTTGGGTTGGGTTGGGTTGGGTTAGGTTGGGTTAGGTTAGGTTCTCGACCGGTGGATAATTAAATCTCAAATGAGCAACACGAGATATCCGGGCAGGTTATGGAGGTGTTTGTGGATGGATAAAATATTCCAAATCGGAAATAAGAATCCGCACTCTGTTGCCAGATGTACAGTACAGGCTCCTCACTTATCGCAAAGGTTACGGCACGAAGCTCGTTGCGAATATCAAAATTGCAAATAGCGGATCAATTTCTCCCGGAAGAAATAATGTAAATAGGGGCGATATAGGCGGTCCCGGCCGTCAGATTTTAACACTTATTTTACTCGATATATTTAGAACAATAAATAAAGTCATAATAAACATTAATAATAAACACTTTGAGTTTATTAGGAGTATATGTTTACATGTACAGTAAACAGAGGTACCTTACATGTGTGAGTGTTTATGTGCGTACGTGTGTGTGGTAAGTTTTATAACGTAGGCGTCGGTGAACCTCGTCGTCTTCTTAGCCGTCGGTGGTGCTACAGACCCGGCCATCTCCTCGATCTTTTAACTATAGAATGCACCGTAGAGAGCCAAGCCATACACGCGTCCAATCACCGGCGTTCCTTCTCCTTGTTCGTGTCATTTTACGATATCCAATTTTGCGTCCAACGTAACTGCCGCGCGTGATCTCTTAGCAACATCGATGGGAGTTTTAGTAACTGGTCGCTTAGGTATTGTTAGATCACACAATACACTCGCCAGCTCGTGTGAGACCGAGGCGAGCTGGAGCGTATGGCGGAGGAATACGTACACACGCTGTCCAACGGTACACATAGAAAATCTAAAATGGTCGTCTCTTTTTCTTCTCAGCTCCACAAAACTCTCACTTTTAACCTTGCCAGATATTTTAAAGTGAATTACAAACGAGAATTTTGTCAGTACACAGCGCGATCACTGACGTCGGGACTCGTAAATACATAATGTGAAAAATATTTAATACGACTGAGGCGGTCGTTTGTCCGGGTGGTCGTAAGTCAGGGAATACCTTACTATTATAGTTCATTATATGGAGGTTTTACATCTAACGAACCCTTGATATAATGGACTTTCCTCTCAGTATAGTTCATTATATGGAGGTTTTACATCTAACGAACCCTTGATATAATGGACTTTCCTCTCAGTATAGTTCATTATATGGAGGTTTTACATCTAACGGACCCTCGATATAATGGACTTTCCTCTCAGTATAGTTCATATATGGAGGTTTTACATCTAACGAACCCTCGATATAAAGAACTTTCCTCTCAATATAGTTAATAGAGGTTTAACTGTAATTGGCTGTTAGTAACCATTGTTATAATTATTCATTACATAAATACAGTCATGTGTTTTGCCTTTGTTGATCTTGTATATAAATACAGTGGGGTATGCTATAACGAACGGATCCTACTACGAATATTCCTATAACGAACGGTTTTACCTATAAAATTGAGAATGCTATAACGAACGCAACTCCTACAACGAACGCGGATGAATACGGGACTATTTCGCCTGGCGCATGAATATTGTTGTACCGCGACCCACAACAAGAGCGTCAGGCGCCATCTTTGTCTCATTGTGTAGCCAGTGCACCACTGTTATTGTTGAAATTTCGTCTTTTGATGTGGAAATTTGCGTTATTTGTATAACTATTTTGTTATACAAGTATACAATTGTAACAATGAGTCGTCCAAAGCGAGTGAGAAAGCTAATAACCCTTGAAACTAAGAAAGAAATTGTAAAGAAACGTGAGAATGGAAGAAGCATTGTGAAACTTAGTGATGTATGGGATGACTAAATCGACTAATGTACGATTTTGAAGAATAAAGAGGAATTAAAAACTGTGCAAGTGGCTAAGGGAATCTTTAGACTTAGCAAAGCAAAGTGTAATGTGATTGAAGAGATGGAAAATTTACTCTTAGTGTGGATAAAGGAAAAAGAAATGGCAGGTGGTAACATTAGTGAAGCTATAATTTGTGAGAAGGCTAAACAATTGTTTGAGGACCTTAAAGCCAAGACTCCCAGTGGAAGTGATAGTGATGTGCCAGTGTTTAGGGGTACCTGCATGCTGAATAACACTAAGGTAAGATAAAGTTCCGTATTTTTTACATTTTCCACAGAATTTTTTCAGTGTTAGGCGGTTGTATTTGGGGGCCTGGAACGGATTAATCCTATAACGAACGAATGCTATAACGAACGAGGTTCTGGAACCAATTACGTTCGTTATAGCATACCCCACTGTATGAGCTTTAATTTTAGCTGTGGTTAATATTTTTAGCTTTTATTAGTCTGTTTATTAGACTTTAGCTTATTAGCCTTAAATAATAATAGTCTTTTATTTAGCTTTATTAGTCTGTTTATATATTAGACTTTAGCTTACTAGTCTTAAATAATAATAGTCTTTTATTTAGCTTTTATTAGTCTGTTTATATATTAGACTTTAGCTTATTAGCCACACTTGTTTTAAATGACTTTATTATTATTATTATTATTATTATTATTATTATTATTATTATTATTATTATTATTATTATTGTTATTATTATTATTATTATTATTATTATTATCATTATTATCATTATTATTAGTTTAGCATCATTCATTAGTCATTGTCTTTCCTACAGGTATTCATGAAGGTACGTTAAACAACCTCGCTAGTAAGTACCCGCTACCTGCCTCCTGACCTCTGTATAACGAACTCTCTCTCTCTCTCTTAAAACGTCGATATAATGGACTTTCATCTCTATAGTTCGTTAAATAGAGGTTTAACTAAATGCATGTGTGTGTACTGCTGCCACATTACCCCCGCCCCCCCCCTGTTGATTTTGTTGCAATTTACTGTTTGATATCTTGTTGCTGACCGTGGCCTGACCTAACCTGACCTAACACTGACCTGACCTGACCTAATCTCTCTCTCTCTCTCAGTAAAGTAGTAGTATTGTGTGTGTATATGAAGCACTTGTGTGTATTCTGGATGTAGACGTCACGTTTATGTAATAATAATAATAATAATAATAATAATTAACGGTTTATTGAAAAAGTTCTGCAGCCCAAAGGCTGAAAATATACATTGGACATAAATGACTTATTACATACATTGGTGGTTTAACAAAAGCCTTCATTAGAGAAAGGTAAAGGAACATACAGTGAACATACAGATTAATGTAGGTGTTGAACAGCAAACACGTAGTGTAGTAACTCCCTCCCAGATGGTGTTAGGAGGGGCCTCACGTGGTTTAGTAATTTCCTCACAGATGGTGTTAGGGAGGGACCTCACGTGGTGTAGTAATTCCCTCACAGATGGTGTTATGAGGGGCCTCACGTGGTGTAGTAATTCCCTCACAGATGGTGCTATGCGGGGCCTCACGTGTGTAGTAATTCCCTACAGATGGTGTTATGGGGGCCTCACTTGGTGTAGTAATTCTCTCACAGATGGTGTTATGAGGGCCTCACGTGGTGTAGTAATTCCCTCACAGATGGTGTTATGCGGGGGGCCTCACGTGGTGTAGTAATTCCTCACAGATGGTGCTATGCGGGCCTCACGTGGTGTAGCAATTCTCTCACAGATGGTGTTATGAGGGCCTCACGTGGTGTGTAATTCCCTCACAGATGGTGTTATGGGGGGCCTCGTGGTGTAGTAATTCCCTCACAGATGGTGTTATGCGGGGCCTCACGTGGTGTAGTAATTCCCTCACAGATGGTGTTATGCGGGGCCTCACGTGGTGTAGTAATTCCCTCACAGATGGTGTTATGAGGGCCTCGTGGTGTAGTAATTCCCTCACAGATGGTGTTATGGGGGCCTCACGTGGTGTAGTAATTCCTCACAGATGGTGTTATGGGGGCCTCACGTGGTGTAGTAATTCCTCACAGATGGTGTCTGTGCGGGCCTCACGTGGTGTAGTAATTCCTCACAGATGTGGTATTATGACGGGGCTCGTGGTGTAGTAATTCCTCACAGATGGTGTTATCGGGGGCCTCACGTGTAAGTAATTCCTCACAGATGGTGTTATCACGGGGCCTTCGTGGTGTAGCAATTTCCTCACAGATGGTGTTATGAGGGCCTCCGTGGTGTAGTAATTCCCTCACAGATGGTGTTATCACGGGGCCTCACGTGGTGTAGTAATTCCCTCACAGTTGGGTGTTATGAGGGGCCTCACTTGGTGTAGTATTCCCTCACAGATGGTGTTAAGGGGCCTCACGTGGTGTAATAATTCCCTCCACAGATGGTGTTATCGGGGCCTCACGTGGTGTAATAATTCCCTCACAGATGGTGGTATGAGGGCCTCACGTGGTGTAGTAATTCCTCACATATGTTTATCGCGGGGCTCACGTGGTGTAGTAATTCCCTCACAGATGGTGTTATATGAGGTGAGCTGTGGTCCCAGGCCTTCCTATCAGTAGACGGATTAACACATCGCTGGTTGTTTGGGTCTCTCACGGGCCGTTATCATGGTACCTGGGACCTCACTGTGTGAGGTTAACTTGGGTACAACTGTTGCTGTTGAGTTGTTCTCACTGACTTAAGCACTGTTCACCACTGTTCACCTCTGTTTAACACTGGTTTTTTTCGTTCTTCCTAGTGCTAACCCATTGAAGTAAGAGTTAATTAAGTTCTCACAATTATTTCACTTCTTAATTAAAGTGGGTCTCTCTCTCTCTCTCCTACATCCGCAGGAGTTGTGGACGAAGTTAAACTAAGAACAATTTAATCTGGAACCGTTTTGTCGCAGAGAGACCTACACCAGAGAGACACCACCACCACACACACACACACACACACACATACACACACACACACACACACACACACACCGGGCTGGCTCACGTAGCAGCTTAGAATGTTAATGAGACGCTGCTACGCCTTCACCCAGCTGCTGGCATTGCAGTGCTGTGCTGAGATGTGCTGTGCTGTGCTGAGTATGTGCTGTGCTGTGCTGGCTGTGATGTGATGTGATATTATGGTCACTGTGTTTGTTACTGTCTGGATACATACATACATACATACAATACATACATACATACATACATACATACACATATTTATACGTTACACATATATACGTACACACTTACATACGCACACACTAGATACGTGGATGAGATTATTAAATTTTTTATAATGAGAATAAAGTGAGAGGAGTCACCTTCCTTCCTTCCTTCCTTCCTCTCCTCCTCCTCCTCCCTCCTCTCCCTCCCTCCCCTCCCTCCCTCCTCCCCTCCTCCCTCCCTCCCTCCCTCCTTCCCCCTTCCTTCCCTTCCTTCCTTCCTTCCCCTCCCTCCCCTCCCTCCCTCCCTCCTCCTCCTCCCTCCCCTCCCCTCCCTTCCTCCCCTCCTTCCTTCCTCCCTCCTCCCTCCTCCCCTCCCTCCCTCCCCTCCTCTCCCCTCCCTCCCCTCCTTCCTTCCTTCCTTCCTTCCTTCCTTTCCTCCTTCCTTCCTTCCTTCCCTCCCTCCTCCTCCCTCCCCTCCCTCCCTCCTTCCTTCCTTCCCTCCCTTCCTTCCTTCCTTCCTTCCTTCCTTTCTCTCTTCCTTCCTTCCTTCCTCCCCTCCCTCCCTCCCTCCCTCCCTCCTTCCTTCCTTCCTTCCTTCCTTCCTTCCTTCCTTCTTCCTTCCCTCCCTCCCTCCCTCCTCCCTCCCTCCCTCCTTCCCTCCCTCCCTCCCCCTCCCCTCCCCTCCCTCCCTCCCTCCCTCCTCCCTCCCCCCTCCTTCCTTCCTTCCTTCCCCTCCCCTCCCTCCCTCCCTCCCTCCCTCCCTCCCTCCTCCCCTCCCTCCTTCCTTCCCTTCCTTCCTTCCCCCCTCCCTCCTCCTTCCTTCCTTCCTTCCTTCCTTCCCTCCTCCTCCCTCCCCTCCCTCCTTCCTTCCCCTTCCTTCCTTCCTTCCTTCCCTCCCCTCCCCTCCCTCCCTCCCCTCCCTCCTCCTTCCTTCCTTCCTTCCTCCCTTCCTTCCTTCCCTCCCTCCCTCCCCTCCCTCCCCCCTCCTCCCTTCCTTCCTTCCTCCCTCCTCCCCTCCCTCCCTCCTCCTCCCTCCCTCCCCTCTCCCTCCCCTTCCTTCCTTCCTTCTCTCCCCTCCTCCCCTCCCTCCCTCCTCCCTCCCCTCCCTCCCTCCCTCCCTCCCTCCCTCCCTCCCTCCCCTCCCTCCCTCCCTCCCTCCTCCCCTCCCCTTCCTTCCTCCTTCCTTCCCTCCCTCCCCTCCTCCCTCCCTCCTCCCCTCCCCTCCCTCCCTCCCTCCTCCTCCTTCCTTCCTCCCTTCTCTCCCTCCCTCCTCCTCCCTCCCTTCCCTCTCCCCTCCCTCCTCCTCCCCCTCCCTCCCTCCCTCCTCCCTCCTCCCTCCCTCCCTCCCTCCCCTCCCCTCCCTCCCTTCCTTCCTCTTGACCCATCTGCCGTGGCCGCGTCAGCAGTCTCCCCAGCCTAATGTGGACTCCTCCTTCCAGAACTGGTGAGAGACGTGAGGTGAACGTGAGGTGAACGTGGGGTGAACGTGGGGTGAGAGGTGGGTGAGGTGGTGAGGTGAACGTGAGGTGAATGAGGTGGGGTGAACGTGAGGTGAACGTGAGGTGAACGTGAGGTGAACGTGGGGTGAGCGTGAGGTGAACGTGAGGTGAGACGTGTCTGTCTGCTCATTAACTACCTAACCTTATGTGTCCACCCCTAGCTATGTGTCACACCCTTAGCTATATGTCACACACCCACATGTCTCCTCCCTTTATGTGTCACACCCTTAGCTATGTGTCACACCCCCATGTGTCACACCCTTAGCTATGTGTCACACCCTTAGCTATGTGTCACACCCTTAGCTATGTGTCACACCCCCATGCTATCCACACACCTTATATGTTTACCAGCTGTCTGCCACCCTCAGCCATTATTCACCCTCAGCATGGGCCACACCCTTAGCTATGCGTCACACCCTCGGCATGTGTCACACCCTCGGCATGTGCCACACCCCCCTTAGCTATGCGTCACACCCCTCATGTGCGTCACACCCTCAGCCGTCACACCTCAGCATGTGCCACACTTCTACGTCACACCCTCAGCTATGCGTCACACCCTCAGCTATGCGTCACTAGTTATGCGTCACACCCCTCAGCATGTGCCCAGCTATGTGTCACACCCTCGGCATGTGTCACACCCTCATGTGCCACCCTCATGTGTCACACCCTCAAGACATCTTAAGTGCCTCGAGGTAGTGGATCAACCATTGACAGAACCAACTTACATGAGTGGCTTCATGAACAGAGAGAGAGAGAGAGAGCTCGTTACTTATTTGATGAGGTGTTACAGCACATCTCTCTCTCTCTCTCTCTCTCTCTCTCTCTCTCTCTCTCACTTACACTCAGTATATCATTGGTTGCCTGAAGCAGTCTGTCAGCATTACGGCTGACATTTGCTGACGTTGCTGACACATGGTTAGTAGTGATGGATGATGGTGATTTTTCCTGACGTGGGCT